ATATATATATATATATATATACACATAGATTTATGCACTAAATTGTTTCTTAAACAGGTTGCCGAACACTATGAACAAGTGATCGGAACCGATGTGAGTGAATCCCAGCTGCAGCATGCAATACCGCATCCTCGGGTTCGATATGCCCACACGGCATTGAACATTACAGACGAGGAAGTAATAGCCTTGTTAGGTGGTGAAGATTCAGTTGACTTGGTGACTGTGGCTACAGCTGTACACTGGTTCGACCTACCAAAGTTTTACAATCTTGTTTCACGTCTTTTGAAAAAGCCAGGAGGTGTATTGGCTGTTTGGACTTACTGTGGCATTGAAGTAAGTCCAACATTTGATCCTGTTATGAAGCGATTTCATGACACAGCACTTCCCTTTTCGGACAATAGAGCTCAGTATGCGTTTGATGGCTATAAGACACTTCCATTTCCTTTTCAAAGTGTTGCGGGTTTCGGATGCGAAGGGAACCCGTTGCCACTGGCCATTCCGGCAAAGCTGTCATTTGAAGGGTTTTTGAAGTTTCTGAGGTCATGGTCTGCAGTCACTACAGCCAAGGACCAAGGTGTGGATTTGTTACCTGAAAAGGTGGTTAAAGAGTTTGAAGCTGCTTGGGGTGATTCTAAATTGGTCAAGTCTGTCAGCTACAAGGCTTTTATGCTTGCTGGAAAAGTTAAGCTGTGAAGCCTGTGGTATTATTATTATGCATATTGAATTTGAAACAGAGAGTAGGAAAGTGGGGATTGAAGAGGGTGCGTAGGAGTTGCTTAAATAAAGCTTGTAGTTTGATATTCTGTTGAGTTTCCGACTTAATTGCAACAAATAAAAATATCACACCCTCAAGAATATCTATGACATCAGGTAAAAAAATTTCAGCGAACTCGAAAATAATATCCTCCATAAAAACAATGCGTGCGTCCTCAACCCAAGAGATTTAACGCATACTTTAGCAAAAGAAAGACTTCAAAGAGTTACAGAAGCAAAGCTGTTCATAGCAAACAAAGGATCTCCTTCCACAACTTTCAATTGAAACATTGAATTTCACAAGTGTTTGAAGCCCTTGGGAACAATATAATTTCCATCAATACCTCTAATGCGTCATCAAACTCCATATCGAAAGTCAAAACTTTCAACTCATTGAGGAGCTGACCGTGCTCCAACAAATACTCTACCATCTCCATCTCATCTGACCCTCCCTTGAATCCCGATATGCAAATAGTCTTGAGGCATGAAGACAAACAAACAGGCACAAGCTCGGGTGGAGACCATTTATGTTCCAACTCATCTTCATCATGAGCAGCATCGCATTTAATGTTCTAAAGATGGTTCAAAATATATGAGTTAAATAAAATCCTTGAAAACTGAATACACATATATTTGAGGGACATCTTGTAGGACCCGACTCCTCCACTTATATTCCAATGATCCGAACTGTCAATTTTTTAGGTATTTCTTCAAAGATCATCTTTGCAAAAAATCAGTTGAATCCGCAACCATTAACCACTCAATTAAAAATTATTTTATTAATCACAATTAGATATCTTAATGGTTTTCAATTTGTTTAATTTTTTGTAATAATGATCTTTTAATGAACACTTAAAAAATAGACACAGTATATTTAGCACCACATATATTTATATGTATACATATTATATATGCATATATATCCACACCATATATTTAGCGTAAAGGTAAATCCACTTAGACTTACAACTGCAAAGAGAAGATTTTCCAAATTGGGCGTTATCTTGAGCATGTTTGTCAGTGATTTCCATGAGCAGCATGCTAAGTGATTTAGCTCCAACTGGTTCAAATGATTAAATGTTGGCAAAGAACATTGATATTCGATGTGAGGATCCTGCATGGAACAATAAGTATATTAGGTCATTTACCTCCGAAATTAAATATTTCGTCAGAATAATATATATACGATATCAATGTAATATAATGCTATTTGAACGACATTTATGGACCACATTTCTAATGAAGGTAGGCTCCATCTATATTATAGAGAGGTGATCAACAATATGGTCAATAAATATGGTACAAATAACAGCATTCATACAACATTAACACTGATAAATTCTAGCAATTGAAAAGGCAACAGACCAGTAAGAGAACAAGTTGAGTACACTTACCCCCAAAACTGGAACTACAAGTGACAGATGTTTAACATTGCTGATTTCTGCAAAAAGCCTCTGCACACGATCAACATCAGCAAGGACATCGGCAGGGTGGCCTTCGTCCTCCTCACGCATTACACTGAAATCAATCTTGGCGTTGGTCAAGGATTTTGCACCCTTCAAACAATAGCTCGCCAAGAAGTTCTCGGTGAGATCCAAGTCTTCAAGACTTGGAACATCCGCGTTAACAAAAATCTTGTTCTCCCCTAGTGTCATAGCATGAGCAAACAAATATATTTTTAGTCTTTTTAGTTTCGGTGCGGAGATCGTTACATTCAAAACTTGATTCTCTTCAAGCCATCCAAGATCTCCATCTACAACCAAATCTTCGAGCGCAGGGCAGCAGGAAAAGAGCTTCTCGATTTGCTCGACATATTTTGGAAAATCGAATGTAATGTGGAGGGACTTGAGCCTTGGGAAACAGTTTGATGTGGGAGGAGCAACGACAGTAACATGCTCTCCCATACTCAGCTTCAAAGTCTCCAAAGTCTTGCACACGAAAAGATCTTGAGGCAACACAAGAAATTCGTGTGAATCGTCCCTCTCATCAAACTCAAGGTGGAGCTCAACAACATTACGCCTAAGGGCGGTGCAAATCCATCCATTGATACGACCAACTATGCCGTCGAGATCGACACAGCAAAGATGAAATTTGTGAATGTTTGATGATCCGCGAAAGAGGAGGTATCGATCCACATACGCTGCAGTACCACCTGAATCCCATGCAGTTGACAACACAATTAGCTCTACAGTGGGAACAAGAGTCCACATATTCTTCCATCGATTTGATAAAAAGCAGGTCGTCACAGCATCTGATGTTGGAAGGAAGGAAAGAATGTGGCAAATGATTGCATCAGGCAATGCACTGATCCTATCTTCAGTGCGTGCTTTGGGACACATTGACTTTGAGTTCGAATCCATTTCCAATGATACGTTTTCTGCGAGAAAAAAAAAAAAAAAAACATAATGTGGCAAGGGAGAAAACCCTTTGACAAAAAAAAGAAAAGACGAAGAAGTTGAAAACCCAAAGAAACCAATTTCGGTGGCTTAACAAGCATTGTACGCTTGTTTTAGTACCCACAGAAAATAAAAATTATTTGGTTTATGTCCTTTGGGCATTGCTTGTAAAGGGAGAAATTATAGAATAGTTTCACACATGTGCAAAAATAATTCATAAAAAATACAAAAGAAAAATTTATGTACACATGTCAAACGCAAGTAGAGGTTCCTACTTTCACGGGAATGAGGAAAGTATTTTTCAAAGAAAAAAAGATTATATACATAAACCCATGAAAACTTGGGAAATTGTATCCATGAAGCTAGAGAAAATTTGCTCCATAAAATTCTACACTTAAAAATTCAGTAAAAACTCTGCAAATTCTCAAATAAAATTATTTCACTAATCTTTTCTAGACCTATCAATGGATCCTGTTTGAATCCAAATCCAATACAAATCAGAATTCAATAATCATTAACCTAACAAATCATTAAATATTTACACTTGGTATGCTCATGTAATAATCCGACCAACTTAAGAAAATATTTAATATAATTTAATATAAATTTTACATATGTATGCAAGAGTAATTTGAGTTTTATATACATTTAGAACACACTTAAACTATTTATTTACACTCCAACAACAAATAAAAGCTAGTTATTTATAAAAAAGTATCAATATTCGAAAAAAGAGAGTGCATAAACACAATAAAAGAACGATATTACTAATGAGATTTTGATTTTTTTCTAGGTCTTAAACTGAATATGATCCTGCTAACGGAGTCTTGTCTAGTGAAAAATGACCTTAATTTGCAGACCAATGGTCTCAAGTTCGAATTCCCATGGCACCATGATAGTGTGTGTATGGGAGAAACCATCTTCCCTTTGTAATTTAGACTATTGCATTAATATATATATATATATGATCCCATCTTAATCCAACAATCATCAAATATGGATTGAAAGGTTCAATCCATTGATCCAAATCAAATCTAAATCATTTAATCCGATTATAAATAGATTTGGGTTTAGATCAGTCCGATCTGTTAGTCCAACCCGAGTTGTATGTGGGTTTCTATTGACATTATATACTACAAGGTATTAAATCATTTAGTTTTTTTTGGGTATCCAAACAGAGGGTATATAACATAATAAGAGCTAATAGAAATTTATCAGAGAATGAAAAATACCTTATACGGTTCTGGTTTGAGGTTGTCACCGTGCCGATGAAGTTTGTCCGGCTGTTGATAAACAACGGGAAAAAAAAAATGAAGATGAGAAGTTGGGCTACTTCCCCATGGAGGCATTGATGGGAATATGGAGGGTATTAAATATTTATGTTGACGAAAATATCGAGGTTCCAAAAACACGAAAGCAAAAATGGAAATATTTTTTTTGGTATGAATATAAATGGAATATTGATAGCGATACATTATCGATAAATGTAAGTTAATAGAAAATATGAAAATTTTGAATATATTCTATCAAATATTTGTGGTTTTCCCTAAAAGAAAGTATTAAAAGCAAATGTGGGTTAAGCTAGTTGGCCAAGACAGTGAGCTCGCTCTTTTTGCACTAAAAGTTTGAATCCCTTGAAACCCAAAAAAGCTCTGTCTCTCTCTATCTCTCTCTCTCTCTCTCTCTGATAACCTCAAGCCCTCTAGTGGGCACTACCCCTCCTCCCCTCCCTTTTCTCATCTTCCTTCATCCCCTTCTTCTTTCCCCTCTTTATCCTTCCCTTTCAACCCCCCTCTTTCTCCCTCACGTTCCTTGGGTGGCTCTTACTGCCCCTTCTTAGGTTTTATGACTAGATCCGTTAGGATATAGAATTTGTTAGTTGTTTTTTTTTTTGTTTTTTTGTTTTTTTTTTTTGTGTGTGGAGGGTCTTGACAGTCATGGAGGAGGCGGCAATGTCGATGTCGATGGGTTTAGCAACCACTGCGAAACACCATTGTCTTCATGATATAGTTGTTGTTTTGACCCATATATACACGGATTTGGCACTAGTTTAGATTTTGGAGTTACAAAAATGAAAGTTGTATTGCGTGGGTTGGGGTTTAGCTGGTATGGCACTAATGCCATCTCCAACCCAATGGGCTAAAAGCTAAATTTTTTATTTTTAGCCCCAAACTCATCCTCAACCTATGTATTGTAGGGAGCTTTTACAATGAGGAGTTTAGAGTGAGGAGTTTATTTGAGGAGTTCAATCTCACCATCAAACCATTTAAAATGTTTAAGTTCATTGGTTTCTTCACATTTGTTGATGGAGAGATTAAACTCCTCAAATATACTTCTTACTATAAACTCCTTATTATAACCTTTTCGTATATTGCAAGGGGCTAAGACCATCTCCAACCCTTGGGGTAGAAACTCAAATTTTGAGTTTAGTCTCCAAAAACCATCTCCAACCCATGTTTTTTTTGGGGGGTGGAAATTTGAGAAATCTCAAATTCGAACTGGAATTCCACCCAAACTATTGCCTGGACTGATAATGTTTGTGGGCCCAAAATCTACTTTTTCTTCTTTGTTTTTTACCTTGGAAGCCCACGTGAACAACAAAAAAGTTGGCCCCACGTGAGTTTTGCAACACGCTGGCCATTTGATTGAATCCC